CCTTACTGAGTATCAGATTCTGAAAGGTACGCCTTACTGAGTATCAGATTCTGAAAGGTACGCTTGGCATTCCTGCTCCCTCAGTCTTCAATGTTTTCTTTTTCCTGCAGGTTGTTAAAAGCTTTCAGACAGATATTTTCACCAGATTGTTCAATTTCAAGTTTCCCCTTCATATTGGGAATGTCTTCCCCCTTTTTTGAAGATGCTGGACTCACCAATGCCCAAACAGGTATTTGCGTAATAAGAATAGTTCCAATCCTTGCAATGTAACTCTGAGTCCAATTTATTTTCATTCCAATCTTCATGAGGTTGTTTTGAAGGAACTGTGAACTAATCCAAATCATACAATAGTTTAAAGTCATCCCAAATCTTACCTTGGCACTGGATGGTGTTACCCTCACCATACACAATCTGCTCTCCCTCAACACATCTGGTTCTTGCACAGTAAAACCCTCCAATGTAGTTCCGGCACTGCTTGTGCAAAGGGCAGACATTTTCCTCTTGACACTCATCAATATCTGGCACAAGATCAGGCAAATTATGTTAGGCTGTATTATTACATGTACTACATGAGCACAAAAGCAAAAGTAAATTCTCAGTGATCAAATACCAACTTTCCATTCTTACCAACTCTGGTTAATTGTTTAGAAGCAATTGCATAAGTAGGTTTCGAAGTCCAGGGCTAAACAGTACCCCCCCAAATGTATATATTATTGACAGGAAGGAGGAGAGCTGGACTGGTGCTGCTTTGGGAATTGATTGAAAAAGACTGTGAAAGAAGCTCATAGAGCTACCCATGAATGCTGGGGGAATTTAGATAAAATAAAAAGGTGCTATATATGTCAGATGATTTCAAGTACCTGTATGTAAAATGGGATACTGCTGAGGTGTTGACCCACTAAGCACAAAGGATTTCACTTAAGTTGAAGGAAGGGAAGTATTTAAAATTAAACAATTATCTACACAGTTAGCAGATATTATTTGCAGCAATTTAAAAACACTTTGATGGAACTCTAAAAAGCACTGACAATTATTTGAGTGAATGTGAATCACACCTATTACATGCTAACATTGTTTTCTATCGTTTGTAATACCATTGCACATAGGATGTCAATAAAGCAAAATTACAAATCTGCTGTGAAAATGAATTGCTCATAGTGTCATTCTAGTGTTCTACTGATATATCTTGAAGGCTCTTACAATCATGTGCTGAAAGCCGGCAGGGGTGCTCCGTACAGGAGTGAATGGGGTACAGTGGCTCCTCACACAAACCAATGGTGTGGAGTTGGCAGGGGTGCTCTGCATGGGAGTGAATGAAGCCACTTGGCTCCTCACACAAAACAATGGTGCGGACCCGCAATAGGTGTTCTGCATGGGAGTGAATGGGGTACAGTGGCTCCTCACACAAACCAATGGTGCGGAGCCGGTAGGGGTGTTCTGCATGGGAGTGAATTGGAGTATGGCTGCCCCTCACACAAACCAATGGTGCAGAGCCGGCAGAGGTGCTCCGCATGGGAGTGAATGGAGCATGGCTGCCCCTCACACAAACCAATTGTGCAGAGCCGGCAGAGGTGCTCCGCATGGGAATGAATGGAGCATGGCTGCCCCTCACACAAACCAATGGTGCAGAGCCGGCAGAGGTGCTCCGCATGGGAGTGAATGGAGCATGGCTGCCCCTCACACAAACCAATTGTGCAGAGCCAGCAGAGGTGCTCCGCATGGGAGTGAATGGAGCGTGGCTGCCCCTCACACAAACCAATGGTGCAGAGCCGGCAGAGGTGCTCCGCATGGGAGTGAAAAGACCACAGTGGCTCCTTACACAAACCAATGGTGTGGAGCCAGAACAGGTGCTCCACACCGGTGTGAATGGAGTCACTTAATAGGCTCCTCAAACAAGTCAGTGGTGCAGAGCCAGCAGCAGTGCTCCACATGTGAGTCAAGAAAGCATGGCTTGTCTGTGCACAAGGAACCTGAAGGTTGGTGTGTGTTCTCTTTGCCTGTGTTTTGGCTGAAGTTGTACTGGAGATGGAGACCAAACCACGGATGGGAATTGGGATGGTAATGACAGGTATCAACCCACCCAACGCCTGCGGGTAGTTGTCGCACTGTGGCCATGCTGGCTTGGTTGACAAAAATGGAACTGAGCTGGATTGGCTGTTCAGTCAATTCATTACTAACCCCATAACATGACGATCTACAGTGGGAGTTGCCTGGAGCTGCTCCCACCGATGGGCGCACCGGATGATGAGGAGTTAGATGTCGAAACCCCTTCTGCAGAATTGTCTACCTAAGAGGACAGCTTCCACCTGGAGCACCCCCACCACTTCATTGTCTGGAGATGCCCGCAGCTGTTTCCGGGAGGAACTCATTTGGTGAAAAGAAGTTCACTGGCAGTAAGTGGCAGGGTACACGTACCTCGATGCCCACATTTCTACTTTAGCATCCTTGTAGATTAATGATTGTTGGGTTGAGCATTTTCCTCTGTTTTCCCCTTTTGAGTAAAAGACGCCAGTGCCAGTGGATCGGACCTCTGCAGGCACCTAGTCGCTGGTGCTCACTGCCTTATTCAGGGACAAACAAGAGTCCTTGGAAGGGGCGGTGTAGCTTCATTGCTGTGTGACCAGTGCAGGCACTAGCACGGATCCACAGTAGAGCCGTGTGGTGGGCCCCTACTGGTCAGCCCGGGAGACCTGTTGCCATGGTGCCAGTGCAGTAGTGTTTTTGGAAGCACATTTTTTTGGTGTGTTTTGGCATTTATGCCAGACAGGAGTGACAGTGTGATAATAAATGGCCAAAAGCCACAAAAACCCAAGTAGAAGACTTCATAGTGTCTTTTGTCAGTGTGAGCAAGATCCGTGGAGGCTAGAATAGGGAATAGTGTACATGGCCCGCATGTACACTATTCCTTATTCTCTCTCTCCATTTATCAACCTCCCTTGCCCTTGATCAAAACTGTCTTTGTCGATTCCAGACAAAAATTTCTTTGAAACAGTCAACAGTCATCTCAAAAGTGACTCCTGTTATCAGTAAGAGCTTTCTCTTGGAAGCTGTTCAACAGAGAGATTCCTGATACAAACTGTCACTCTCTTACACTTGGCCACATGTTTATTTTCACTTTTATCAAAACCAAAGCCACTGGTGGACAGTATTATCTGACATTTTATAAATTATGAATTAAAGGCTTTTTCATTATAAATTCCAGTCTGATGACTTTATCAGCCCAAATTTGTGCACAAATGTTGCAGGCATAAAATTAATGTCATTGTATCTACCAATGTGGAAAACTTTGCCACAGACATAAATCAACATAGATTTTTGAATTTTTTTCAACCTTTTGCCAGAGGGCGCTGGAGTTTTGCACTATGTCACTGATACATTATTTAAGGAATACTATTGTATCAGAGACTAACACTGTTGAAAGTACTTTCACATCTATTATTAGTTTTAAATTATTAAGTACTTCTGGTTTGGACCAGTTCCGACCAGAAGTAATGGTCAAGCAATTCTTCGGGAAAAGAAATTATTTTAATTATATATATAAATACATCTTGAAAAAAGATTATTTTACTATAGGTTTTCCCGGCCGAATTAGTCTATACAGCAGTCATATTGATGAACATGCATTCGCATTTGAGCCATCTCGTGAAGCAAATTACTCCCTTGGTTCATTTTCCAAAGTTTGCGCACTCAATTTCGTTTGTAGACGTTGAATAGTTCACTTTCACAAATTCAGTTTAGTAACAGTGTCATTCAATTTCACTGTGCACAAGCGTCATTCAATTTTGCTCTGGGTGACTGGGAGGTGGATTTGTACCTTAATTTCACTTTCATTTTCGTCAATGGGCACTGATATTCGCAATGCAAGCTTTTAAAAGTACACGTAGCCTAAATACTGGAGACAAGACTGAGTTTAGCCGTTCAGTTCCAGAAACGTCTTGATCGCTGGCGATATTTGCCCGGAAACTTCATTACCTCCAACCTTTTCATTCAACTTTGTAAATACTTTCCCTCTGTTAAATGTTTTCCTGGGGATAATGTGGTCTCGTTATTCTTTCTTTTCAAGCGTAAAATTTTGAATTTCATGAAACCAATTTTTTCTTAAATCTTCCAGCACAAGAATAAACATTGAAAAATTACCACTGAAAAGATTGAATATTTTGTCTTTTTAAAAACTATTATTCAACCAGAAAACAAGAATGTGATCATTTGTTTTACTCGTTTTAATTAATGATTCAAGCAGAAATAAACACGTAAATTACAAAAACCTTAGACTTTGGTCTTAAGTATTCATAATTACCCTATCTGGTTTGTATGATACATCTTGAGACTCCAGCCGTCAATTTCTTGGCATGCCAAGCATCTTGGCATGTAGGTTTGAGAGTGATTGTACCACTGGGTACACTTGGCAGGTGTTATAGCGTCGATACTTTGCACTGCAACCTCTCACAGGAGGTTGCATCACCACTGTTGGAGATTGACTCCTGCTCGCTGAGCTGCCAGCATGTCTCCACTCCGGCAGGGCAAGGCTCCTCTTCATCGCGGCTTTGAAGGCCAAGTGGGCCATCTCAGTCATGTTCAAAAACGGTAAGTATGGTAAAAGCAGCTTGGTCTGGCGTTGTCATACACGAGGAAGATTTTGTCATCCTCAGGAAATAATGCATTGCATTCGTCCACTGTCTCAATGAGAAACTGCTCAAATGTCTCCCGTGTCACAGTCTCAAAAGCAACTCGATGGTGCACCAAACCAATGGCACCAGACACTGCAAACGTGATGTTACAGTTGCATCCCCGCTGCCCATGAACAACTCTTCTCGCTGGAATGCCTCTTGGGGCTCTACCTTGGGAGCGCCTAGTCCAGATGTTATATCCAGTTTCATCGATAAACACACAATTAGCAAGAACCCCATGCTCAAGTAACCATTCAGCATACTCGACCCGCTGCTGTAGGACACGCAGGGAGTTTCTGACATCAGGTACATCCTCTGCAATCTTTATGGTCACCAGCACACCATCTAGAGCCCTGGCTATGGTGGAGGTAGATATGTCTGGCTTCTGTGGGAGGTTTGCTCTTAGGCTTGCCTTCATTTGGAGGAGGGTGAGAAGTGGATTGGTGTTGAGAATTTCCTGCAAGTGATTCTTCACATCTTCATCCATTTTCACGTGACGTGCCCCTCCTCTTGAAAGTTTGTGAATTCTTCCCATTTCCAAATAGGTAGCAACTATAGATCTAGCTGTTGATCTCTTTATTCCAAGGTTGACTATCAGTTATAAGTAATCTTGGCCATTTCCCTCAAATGCTTCAATCAAACGACCCCGATCAACATTAGATATTCTTGCCTAGCGAGCATGAGCTGCTGCCATCTTGTTTCAGTGTTACAGCTCTTAGAATAAGAGGTCCTCCCAACAAGGTGATATTTAGTGTAATGAGAGAGATATTTCTGCCAGTGAAACAGGTTTTCTTCATGATGTAATTTGAATAAACTACTCAAACCTAAAACATCTCAAATTTGTACATCAGACTTTGATGAAAAACATTGCACGGATGTCAGAAATGTTTGCCTATACACAAAATTGAATGCCTATTACGCTTACCGTGACCGTGCGAATTTAACTGCTGTTCCTACAACTTTCTAAATTGAATAGCAACTCCAGTGGATTTATTTAACAAGAATTTACAATTGCATGCTCATAGAGTGAAATTGAAGGATTATTTTGGCCGACAGAATGTTGATCTGGATCGTCAATCGATTTTGTGTTAAATTGAATGAGCTTAACGTTACTTGGAGTGCCAATTTTAAAAAGTTGGGCGGGAAAACCTATACTATCACGGAATGTCACGGTTAATTTTAGACAGACTTTTTGATAAGTTAATATAAATAGAAGTTAAGTGCTTGTAATTTGACACCTGATGATGTCGCTTTGCTTGGCTTTGATGAAGGTGCAGGTTTGCTAGAGACCAAAAAATTCTTTGAAAATCTGTGTACAAAATTCTAAATTCTACAATAAATCACGTGTTGAGGTCATGATGATGTTATTCTTCGACAAACATCTTCGAATGATGATTCAAGTATCTACCAGAATAGAAGAAAATTGGCAATGTTTTAAAGCCAAAGTCCCACAAATAAAGAAAATCCATAGTATGCTATGGTATTTCCGGTGGAAGAGGAAGTAAAAATAAGAAACAAATTTAACGAAAACAAATGCTGTTTTGGCCGGTGCCCGAAACAGCTAAAAACGATACAGCTCAAAACAGTGTTCACAGTTCAAAAAAATTTGTGTTTTCACCAAGTTTTCTTAACTGCACAAAAACAAAAGAGTGTCAACAATAGGCATGGAAGGTAAATGTGTGTGTGTGCAAGTAATTCTGAAGTGGTTAATGATACCTGCAATGATTAGGACTGAGCATGGACAATTACTGCAACATTAGATTAAGGTGAAAATTTAAAGTGTCCTTAAAGAAATGCAAAAACAAAAGTATTTTATTCATACAACTGGAGAATCAAAACCCCATAAAATGAAAAACCTACATTTTGAGCACTTTTTGGTATCTTAGTAAACTGACAAAAGGTTTAACATAAGGAAATATACAGAGCAGGTCATATATCTTATGAAGCATATTAGTTAGTATTTGTAATTGTTGTAATTTCCTTTATACTTCAGTCAGAGACTGCCAGTGTTATGGATGACACTGCTTACTTTTTTTGGTTAATAAAGCATTAATGCTTGAGAATAGCACAGAACCAGCTGACAGGTTTGATGGTTTGATACAAAAGCACTGTTACTTAGCATTATTGCATCAGAAGCTTAAGTGTTGATAGGCTGTTTAGGCTGGCAAGGCCAATGGCAACAAGTGGAGTGTACCTTCACATCTAGAGGAGTCAACATTGTAAGCCAGTCCAGTAGTGCATTTCCGAATGCATGTATATGAGCCAGGAATGTTGGTACATGTATGGCCCGAAGGGCAGACGCCGGCTACCTCTTGACACTCATTGATGTCTGTGAGAAGTCATCATTCAATAATCATGACAACCAAAAGTACACATTGGAGCGAAAGCTAACCACTTAAGAAACACATCAGGTTCTAAATCTTGAAGCCATATTTTGGATGTATATATGTTATCAGTAATCAGTCCCCCAAACCTGAGAAAATTCCATGTTGTAAAAAAAAAAATCAATTTTCATTATATTCTTGAACTGCACGAAAGGCACAAAGAATGTTTTCCTTACAAGTGTGGTTAAAGGGAATTCACCTGTGATGTACAGGGTGTAGCAGTTTTGAAACTTTGCATGGTGGAGGCTAGACTAAGAGAGATTTGTGGGTACACCAAGTGAAATCGATCTCTTCTGTCAGTGCTGGCTCTGAGTACAACCAGTGAGTGTAAACTCAACATTTTGACAAGGATGCTCTGGTCTCTCCTGGGGATGCCCAGAGCATCCTGGTCGAAACAGTTTACACTCACTGGTTCCTCTGCGAACCACCACTCTGATATAAGAGATTGATTCCACTTGATGTACCCGCAAACATTCTCGCTTACTTTTTAAACTAGTTCATTTTAAACTAGATTGGAGCCTAGCAACAATAACTGACAGAACCAAAAGTGAAATTCATTACTGGCACCAGACCTGAAGCCAGGTTTAAACAAACTTGTGTAAATCATAATTTTAATCCTGTTCATAAATATCTTCATCATACAAAAAGTCACATCAAAAAGTCAAAAATCATTATTACCTAACGATTTTCTTCATCAGTTTCATCTCATCATGTTTTGTCAAACACCTCTCTGGCCATACCTATGGTGTGTGTGTGCCTCATGAGTGCAATAATAGCATCTCCTATATTCTGTCTATACGGAAAGTTGTGTAGGGGCACTACGGTGCACAATTTACACGATTTAGAGTGAAATACTGACTGTCTGAAATACTGACCTATTGGTTGAATTGCAAATGCCTACACATTATTGCCACTAATTATCATGTAAGTGGTTTAGAGTTCATGGAATAAGATTCAAAATTGTGCATGAAACCAGTGATGGATCTACATGTAGGTTCATTAAAAATACATGAATACAAAAGGGACAGCATGGCCCTACCTTATATTCCTGTACTTTAATAATGAACCTGGTTGTGTGAAACTAAGGAAGTGTTCAAAATCAGTGCATAGTTTTTGTCATCTGTTGATAACCAAACAAGTTACAGGCTGTTGACCAACAGCAATCGGCAAACTGTCTGAGGAGTTTATAAATTTAAAACAGTACCACACTATATTTACCTAAGAGGTACATATAAATGTTCACTTTGGGAAAAAAAACAAAACAATAATAGTAAAAAAAAATTAGTCTCTGGTTTCTGGTCAGCATGCGAATTGGCGTAGATGTGCACGTTGGCAAAATAAAAAAGTTTGTATTTGGTATAACACAATGTCTAAAATCTGCCACACTTGGTTGATCAACTGGAATCCTGCTACTGCGTAATTTTGACACATTTTTGTTGGGGTATGGTTGAGTAATAGCTAGGGTTAAGGGTCCCTTTAGTTTTCAAAGCATTTATTTGAACACTCTTTGTCAGATGATGTCATTTCTGTATTTTACATTTACATTTGGGAACTAGACAAGTGAGGTGCTCTTAAGTCCTGTGTAAACGTACAAGCTTAAAATCCGTTTAAACAGTGCGGGGCCCATTCCCTTTTAGTGTTGGGAGCAGCCAGTGAAACATGTGCATGCAGTTGCGATGGAGATCACTTGTTGTACGTACATCATTTCCAGAAAAAAAGTGAGGGTAAAAAAAAAAGTGAGGGTTAAAAAAAAAAAAAAAATTATCACCTGACCACTTTTGGATCCAGCTCCTGACCAGAAACCGGAGATTTATTTTTTTGGGCCTAAAGTGAAAGATAACCAAGGTCTGAAGAAAAGTGTCATTTAAGATCTGCGAAAGATTCTTCGCTGGTCGAGCAATCAACTCACCGATGCATGTTGTTCCGTCTGTGTCTAAATCATAACCTGTGTCGCAGTAGCACTCATAGGACGATGCATCAATAGTGCGGCAGCCATAATCACAGTTGGCAAACATACATGCCAGCAATGGACTGGAGGCATCTATAAGAAATACAGAACTGTTCTCAACATCGCATCTCACTTTTGTTACATAAACACAGCATATTAACTTAACCTGTAAGCTACTGGTGCATTGCATGCATGCGTATGAGGGTTTGGGCAACCTTTGGTTCTCTTGCCCATCAGTAAGCCTTGTATCAGCTAAAAAGTTGCAGTCCACTGATTTAAGTCTTGTTCAAAGTAAATTACACGCTTGGATCTCGGATCTTGGATCTCAAGTTGAAATGGACATTAAAAGCTTCAAAGCACTATCCACTCACCATGACAACTGTAACCGTCTTCTAGTAGTTCATATCCTGCCTCACAGGAACACACATACGAGCTACCATTGGGCTGGCAGCGTTGCTCACAAAGAGATGACTCACATGGATTAGTGATATCACCTGGTTCTTGGCAGACCAAGAAATAACCAAATAGAAATTACAAGTCATACAAATATGTATGTGCGAGCAGAGCTGTCTGAAGAAGCGAAATAAGATGATAAGATCAATACATGCATGTTACAAAATACTGTACACTGATTAACATAATGTGATAAAGTTGCTGCTTAATATGCTCCACAGTTAGGCCACACTCCATATTTGCTGCCTTTTAGGCCACACTCCATATTTGCTGCCTTTTAGGCCACACTCCATATTTGCTGCCTTCAGCAAGGATGAATACCAGAAAAATCATTCCTTTTATCAAACGAAAACATCTACTAAGGTGATACACAATTGGACTCCTTGTCACCAGGTCTGGTGTGGAGCATGCACATAACTTTGCAAACCTGGGGTATGTTCAGTACTGCAATACAACGCGTGTTTACATATGCATTTTATTATTATTAAAGACGTACATAAAATAGGGTTAATATAGCATGGTTGGTACGTTGAAAATGAAGCTTCATCTGAATTAATTAGTTATGTAACACAAAACTGACCTAAAATACAAATCTCAAAATATGGAGGGCCTGACGTTTCGATCCAAGCAGAATCTTTCTCAAAGGCCTTTGAGAAATGTTTCGATCCTAGCAGAATCTTTCTCTAATTCTGCTGTGATTGAAACTTCAGGCCCTGCATATTTTGAGGAAATTAGTTATGGCTAGGAAATTCATGTGTATCTAAACCTCCAACTAGCAGGTGCAGCCCACAGATGTGTGAGTTATTACCACCTGCAGCCAATTAATTCATGCAAAGCCTGACAATATACAAGAAAACAGACCAAGGTTTTTGCACAGACACAGCTAACTCAAAAGAGATCATGAGATTGATTACATGTATCAACAGATGGGCACAGATGGTTCGTAGGGGTTTGATCAAATATCCTAAGCATTTAGACTTAAAAACATTTGCCTCTGTGGACGTCACTCAAAATAACTACTTCTGCACCAAAAAGCACTTGTATAAAAACACTGTGAATGTGATGGAGTTGGTGAACACAGGAAATGAATTCTGGGTAACTTTCCAGCTGGGGAGAATCCTATTTAAATCTTGGTGTACAGTTACCATTACCTCTGATACATGTCATGTTGTCCGCTGCTGCTAGAATGTAGCCCACTGGACACTCACAGACAAAGCTGCCAATCACATTGACACACTTGGCACTGCAGAGTCGCTGGTTGTTCTCCCTGGCAAGGGTGCATTCATCCACTGGGAGTGCAAAAACATGACATCAGTTACCAACATCTCCATGGTACTGACACGAGACCTTTCTCCCCAAAATACCTGAAGTCTATGTAATCCCCTATATGATTCCCTAAAGGCCCCCTTCTCCCAAACCCAGGCTGTAAGAGTTTCTGGAAAGGTGTGTAGGCTCAAGAAATTCAACCACCAAACAAAAACTTATTAGTTGTGCTAACCGTACATTGAAAACATAGGGGCTATGTACTGTAGGTATACATTGTTTTTTTTTCTTTGGTTTCTGGTTTTGGCTGTAAAAGTTTCATTTTTCATAACAACTTTAATACAACTTTAAAGCTGGCAATTGTGAATTAAATCAAACAAGAAAAAAAACATTTATCAACTACAGATTCAACAGTTACAAAGAAGTGTACACAAAAATCACATTTGGGTCAACATTATACATTTTCTTGAAAAAGATCTGGTTCATCTTGGGGCATGTCTACATTTTATTGGAAAAGAGATCTTCCCCATGGTGTAGTGCAGACCAGGATTGAAAACGGACATAAATACGGAAATGCTGAAAAAAAACCCCAAAGTTCAAGAAATTATGAACCATTTTTGACACAATGTCCCATCCACACAGCCACCACCAGAATTTCTGGAACATCCAAAAAAAGGTTGTTTCGTTGGATTTGAGTTTATTTTCCTCTCTGCACCCAAGAAGAACTTACTGTCATTGGCACTGCTTGCCATTTGGCAACATTCCCTGAATGCAAGGTCACACTCTGTGCCAAGATCAGTTCCCTCGCATGGGGCTGACTCCTGAAAAGCCTTCAAGCCAAGCTCACAGCACTCACAGCATGTCTATCACAGAAGAGAAATCACAAAAAAGATTAATGAGTAAATCCAAGTTGTAGGAGATATTTGTGGACCTACATGTACATACTGTGAACTCTCATTCTGACAATAGCAAAAGGTTTTTGAGAAGAGCAATCAATACAATGTTTCATCATCCAATCAATTTGCTCAAACAATGTATATGAACATAAAAGGGGCAGACTACAATGAACATGGAAAAGATAAATTTCTGTTTAGTTCTTTTTGAAGAATTTTGAAGGTTTGTTTTGAATTAAAGTGCTGTGATCTTGTAAAATCGAGAACAGGTGACCACAGAAATACAACATCTTAAGTCTTGAAACACAAATAAATTAAGCTAACTTTTTTCCTCCTTCTGCCCTGACTTCACATGACACAATCTGAGTCTACATTTATAATTTCTACATACAAATTATACCCTGGGTTTCTGAATGGCATCTTGTTTTTGTTTTGTATTTTTATAATGCATGTTCTAAATGGCATGCCAGACACAAGTTTATGCTTTTTGGGTTTGTAACCTATTCTTGGCTTGATTTCTTTATTTGTATTCTTTATATTTTTTGTGATTTGCCTACCATGAAGAGAAAACAAATATAACTTACTTCCAACCTAAAAAAAAGTCACAACTCGACCTTTCCCACTGATATTTTGTAAGGATACAGAGATGTGTGTAGGAGTAGATATCATGTTTGACCAGAATTCTTTCAGTCAGTCACCTTTTCGATGGAGGCACATTCATCTCCCAGGATGCGATCACAGCTCCCAATATTAGCTCGGGTGGACAGCCCACTGATGCACATGTCCCTCTGGAGTTCCTTGACGCAGCAGGCTCGCATCACAACATAGCAGTCCTTGATGTCTTCCTCCTCCAGCAGCTGCAAGTTGCTGGGGATGGCCTTGATGTCGATTCCACTGCAGGTCTGCTCTGAATTGGCATACTCTGCCCCATCATCACAGCAGATGGAGATAGAATGCTGCAGTTGCACAGCTGAATTTAAAGCCAGTAGCTCGTTTAATTTTACATTGGCTGTTTTATCTGCACCAATGTATACTTAAATAGTGAAACAGTTATTAAGCTTACATGGGTGGGACTCAATCCACAACCCACTGCTTACTTGTGCAGGTACACTCATCCAACTATAGAGTTTGTCAAGGCAGCTGGCTTGTTTGGATTGGAAGACTAGCGGGTATCACAAACATGTTAACCCTAACTCCGCACTAGAAACAGTACTGAACCTCACAAAATTCAATAGATACAACTTGTATAGATCTACAAAGAAATTACTGGTACATGTGTGCGACTGGACAGAAATTCCAGCCTGTTTGGAGTGTTGAACTTTGAGTTATTTGGTATGAATAGGCCTCTGCTGTCCACGGGTGACTTGCACAGCAGTAGTACCAAGCCTGACAAGATCAAGTACAGTCCAACATGGGGTACCACAAGCCAGTCACTTCACGGAGTGTTCCCACTCAAAATAAAATCCAGCACTATCACCCTACACATTTTTCCTCAATCCAACAAAGTTAAACAACTTCACAACCTATGGTATTAGAATCGGCCAAACCTTGACAAAACCTTTACCATTAACCCAACAACCACAGTTTACACATATTTATTACAAGATCCTTCTTTTAATGCAAGCGATAATGTGTACTGCGTGGATAAATTGATATGGTCAATCAACAAAATGCAAAAACTTGGAAATTCTGAATCCCACTATGATATAGCATTACCTCAGTCCTTTCTCTGAACTGTGTAAGCCTTGGGTATTCTAATTTCAAACGATTCTTTTCAAAAATCACTCTTGTCAAATACATATTTGTGCACAAACAAGTTAAAGCAACACAACTTAATGGAAACATTCTGTTACTGGTTGGAATTGATTACAAGTCAGGGAAAGTGACATGTCCATTACCTACAGAGAAGCCCCCAAAATTTCTTGGAAAACCCAGACATTTACTAGCTGACGCTATAGTACCCTGGTACATCATGGTACATGTAACAAATCAGTTGTGAGAACTAGCAGTTGGGGTAATAAAATCCTAACAGCTGTGTTTCCATGAAGTAATTATAAGGAGGAAAAACAACCCAGCTTTTTTATTTTTAGTTCTGCTTGGAATACTTTTCAGGAAATTCTGGGAAGATCTGTCAATATCCTTAAATTCTGAAGACAATTGTCTGCAGTCTTGTAGATCTGAATACTCTACGCTTTGCAGAGTGAAATCAGCATTTACACAATGCATTTTTTTCAACATAAAAATTGGAAATGCATATTATAACCTTCTTTTCAATTTTTGTTCTAAAAATTGACCAAACTTTTCACAAACTAATGCAACACTCAGGTTTCCTTTGCAGAATGACATCACAGTTTTTCTCATGAATATGGAAATATTAGCATATAAACCAAAGGCTGCAAAATACGGGGTACCTTAAAATAGTGACATAAAATCAAAACTGAGGTTCAAGAAACAAAGGTGCATTTTTAAGGTATGTATTAAAGAAAGTGCACTGCAGTCACCCTTTTCTTAGATGTACTGTGAATACACTAGTCTAAAGAGCAAAGACCTCTTTTCTGCTAAGCAGATAACACTGTTTGGTGAATTCACAAGCTAAGAATGAAGCAGTGTTGAACCAGCCACTTTTACGCAACATGAACAGTATGGCATTTTTGTAGGGAACTTGATTTGTGCTACACATAAGTACATGTACATGTACAGCACAGTAAATTTTTGAGTTGAAAAGCTCTACACAATTGGCCCCATGGGAGATTTTTGGGAGATTTAGTTTCATCTGAGCTCTACAAAATTGGCCCCTTGGGAGACTTTCAAAGATTTACTTTCAACTGAAAAACTCTACAAGATTAACACCATGGGAGATTTTTTCAAGACGTAGTTTCATCTGTAGTCCTACAGATGTTCACAACACAACACTACAGCCTTAATTAAAGTGCTGCTTCATTAGGTCCAGGATGGTCCATGAGATTTGTCAAAATTGAAATGGGTTTATCTGCCCCAAGTTGAGTTATACCCTAACTGGCAAAGACAAGGCCAGATGGTGGGAAGTTTTCAGCTAGGCTTGTGCATGCGAGGTCTGGTGAACCTGTGCAAAGACCTAACAATAATAAACAGGAATTGGTTGCTTGTGCCCAACATGTCCCATGCCAAACACATGTATGCATGAACCTGTGCACATACACAATGAATTCCTACCAAAGGGCTGCCCTTGCTAGTACATATTAAAAACAGGCTGTTATTTCCACTTAGAGTAAGAGCAGAAATATGTGAAGGAGCTTTAACTGCAATGGTCCCCGCTTTGCAAAGGTCCAGAGTAACTTTATTCACATGTTTTATGGCCTTAAGAAATTGTAAATCTTTAAAAGCCTTACTTACTCAGTTACAAGCAACTTGAAGTGAAATGGCTGTTGGGAAATACGATCTTATAGATAAACCTTTTAACTTCCTGCTTACAAACAATAACCATGTAATAATGAAATAAAAAGGCTTTAAAGGTGACTGGAGTCTCTTTTCTTGTTGGCTGTTCAAAGGAATCTTAAGAATCCCCAGCATGAAACAGGTGTTGCACAGGTGTTGATAATAAACATCCTGGTTGCTTGCCACCAGGGTCAAATCAAACACATGTGAAAGTAATTAGCAAACACCTAGCACTGGTAGCTCCACACAACTAATCTGCACTTATCAAAGGATATAGTGTACTCAAGGGCAGATCCAGGACCATTAATTTTTTCTTTTTTTGGGGGGGGGCTGACAGATTTGAGAATTTGGCCATGTCTGAACCATGGCTTAAATTACTACGCAAAGTCAAGAAATACCACATGTGCTGTGGTGGCCATGACATTCTATCAGTAACATCTTCATGCATTACCCATACTGTAGATAAATGTGTTCTTTCCAGCTGTGGTCAAAATCAGATGCAAGTAGTTTGACCTTTCTCAAGGTGAGGCCACAATTGCAGGATTTTCACACAGATACATGAAGGAACGGAAATGACAGTCAACCCTAATTGCCTTTATTTTGATACATTTCAAAAACAAAATTTGGTTCCCATTGCTTCCCCCCATCCACCAATCAGTGTACTGACCAACCACATTCTTGGTTATGAAAAAAGTTTCATGGGCGATGGTTACCTCATGTTGTATAACACATACAGCTGTGGTCAAGGAGGGAATGAATATGTCTCTGAAAAAATGATAAAGAAATGCTGCAATTAAAGGTTCCGCCAGAGGATTTCTCGTCTGTGAAATCCATGTATAGCTGCAAACAGCACACAGAAGACATGCAGGTCACTGAACAGATGATACCAACTTTTTATGCTCACAATTAAGCAGTTGCCAATATGGCAAGAGTTCTTTAAATTCACGTGAACATAATGACTTGAATTCTCCATACTAAAACCACTGTTGCTATACCTCGTGATTCGGGGCAAGCTTTTGCTTAGTTACATAAGAGACGCCTTGTAACAATACACTGTTCTCAATGGATAGGAACGAAACAAAGGAAATGAGTCCATTGCAGAGATGGTGGTCGCTATGCAAAAGCTTGCCCTGAATCACGAGGTATAGTAACAGTTTCTTTAGTCTGGGGAATTCAAATTGTTACATTTCTATACAATCAGATAACACAGTGTACCAGATTTTATTCAAATTTAACTTGCAAGTGGCTTATTGCCAACATGCACTGATAGAGTTGACAAGAACAACATGACCAAACCCTTCAAGGGTAGCTGCAATAAAAAACTAATTTAAACCTTCAAAGTGCACCTTTGCCTGTCAGTTAATGTAATTTTCAATTTTTGTTCCACTACTGGTATATCAAAGGGTATTTTACTGCCTTACGGATTTATGCTAATGAATGATTGAATATTTCCATATCCATGAGCAAAACTGTGATGTCATCCAAAAAATTCAGGATTTTCTATTAGCTTTCGCTGGGCTAAATTTTCTTTTCTATAGTGATTCATTGTTAACAGCAACAGCACCCTCAGTTGTTCAGGAAAGCAAGACTAATGTCAACTATGTGCATTTTTAATGCATTCAACCAAACATGGGCGCAAAATAGTTTTCATACATTGATGAGGAGTACAAGTTGCCAAGAAACCACTGTCAAAGAAAAATTTATTGCCATTACACTTTAAAACTTTTAGTTTTTAGTTTCCAAAGAAAATAAAACAGCTTCAAGTTGGCTACATTTATTCATAATTCCATTCCCAATTGCATATCTAATTCATAATGTTAACTTAGAACATGGGCCAGAATGGCAGAAACCCCAGATGAAAGAAAAGCAGGTATTTAGTCATGCATTTGAACACAGGCAACTAGCAAGAGGACACTCATGAGGAAACATCCATTCCTATTCCCATAGGAACTTTGGCACATACAAATAAACAAGTAGGAATACACATTACATCATTCATGTCTTTAGATACACGTACCATTTACATTCTAATTTCAAGGCAGTCTGTTAACATACTTCAGTACTTACTTGCCTGTATGCAATAATTTTAGTGCAAAATCTAAGCAGCAAACATTCAAGATAAACAAAATACATAAAACAAGTACTACAACTTTAACTCAGTTGTAAGCAAAACATGCACAATGTTTTGCAAACAAGCACACAAAAACTGTGAATAGGAACAGATAACTCACCACTGACTGTTGCAAAAACTGCCAACAGAACTGAAGCTCCCCGCCACATTGTTTATTCCCAGCACTGTGTAGAACTCAAATCCGAACACAATCTTGATCTGTTGATAGCTGGAAGATGCTTGAGATCATGGATGAGATCAACTATAGTGGCACCTCTTTGCTAGTTGTAGTATATTGTCTGCTTGAATTATGTGAGGTTTAACAAGAATCACTCACTTGTCTCAGATGGCCAGAACTTCTGCTTGCACTGAGGAAAATCTGGTCCCAAAAGACTCTAAAGAGAGAGGAAGGCTAACAGCCACAGTTGATCTTAAACACAACGAATGCAATACTCCACAGTGACTTTTGACGATGTGCCATCCAGTAAGTGGGTAAAATGAAGCCAGCGGCACTCAGCAGTCTGCAATGGACCATGCAAGCATAAACAGCAAGTCAACACCACATCTGGGGTATCAGGGCAGAACAAACACTGCGTGTACCAGATTGTAACTGTGGGTTTTTCTGCCTTCACAGTGCCTTTGGGGATGCCAGTTGGCCCAGTAAATATTCCAAGGGCAGAGAGGGTTAGTTGTACCTGTGGGGTTTGTTGCATCACCTTATGTACTCACTGCCATATTAGTCCACAAGAGTTGCCAATTGTACGCTCAATTAAACAATAGCCTCATTACAATGGGAACTTGTGAAGCAAGCACATTCTTGAAATTGTTCCAGTGCCAGCTCCCATCAAAATGAGTCTGATGACAGGTTACATCTCCTGCCCAGGCATGTTGTATGTTGTACATAATTAATTGACGCATGGAGACTGATCCAAGCATTTTGGGGGGCTGTTTCAGTTATCCCAACCAAAATGTCTCTTTAATCTTTTTTCGCCTTTGGGGTTATCACAACCCAATAACAGCCTTAACTCTTCCAACAAAGTTTCTTCAAACCTCCTTTGAAAGCTGAATATGAATTTTTAGAACAATGAGACACAAAAATGATAAGTTCAAGAAAAAAATAATTTTAAAAAAGTGGTCTTACATGTTTAAAAAAATTCCTTTGCCTCACTCTGTCTGTATGAGGCACCACTTTTTAATTGGTAAGATATAGCATAAATGGAAACTTGTTGGCTGTATCGTGACTCATTCTCTGAATCAAACACAAAGGAACTATTGTCAGTCTTTATTCTAAATTCAGTACTGGGTTCAAGTCTACTGGCTCTAGACCTGCGAGAACTTTCAAGAACTTTCATGGCAGGGTCCCACCTGCAAGAGGTCTGTTTGTGGATCACCTCTATTATAACCAAAACCATCCCTGCCTGCCAAGTACTCCAAGGTCAAAGTGATTTACTGCTAACTGGTGACCTCACTTCCTCCCACTAAAAACACTAAGCCTATAAGCAGGGCACCACCTTCTTCTTTAGAAAGTGGTAAGGTAAAACCAAAGGTCTTGACTTGTAGCAGTTGACACAACTTTTTGCACACAACCACACAGCACAAGTTACACAGATGGTAATTGGCACAGTTGCTAAGCAACTTACAAGCCAACACAGTAGTTCAAACTGTCAACGCAAAGGTCGCAACAATTGTCAATTTTGTAATGCAAAGTTCTTGAGAATAAACGAGAGAAAACAGCACTAGCTATGAGCATTCACTGCTGCATTTCATTTTGGCATGTACCTTAAAGCAAAAGATGTTTAGCTAGTTACATTACTTAGCTCAGTCAAGTTTGCCCCAAGATCAAATATGGGTGTATGGGCATATATCTTCTGTCTTTCATTTACGATCACACAGCAAAGCGACAAATCTGTAAGAACTGAACTCAAGATACTTCCTGTACACGGCACAATAGATTTGTATGGTCTACAGATTTATTTGTGAACATTAACAAGAGAATTGTCTTAAACAATAAACATCAACTTGGATGGCTTCTTTACTCAACATGTTTGACAAAAAAGGCATTGATACTCCCCAGAATCCTTTTATAATAAAAGTTTAATGCATGCAATTATCACAATGCCACATAAATGAGAAACTATGTCAAGCTATTCTCCATTTAGCTCATATCTTGGTGGATATTTCTCAGGAAATCTTACAGAACAAACTGTACGTGCACAACGTGTACATGTAAGTATTGTCCAAACGTATTTCCATGAGTCATTTCTCATTCATCTGGCTAAAACACTGGTTTTGCCAACATTGAAACCAACGAAAGATGAAACATCATTGCAATTTAATAAACTCGGACCAACTTGTATTACGGCACTTCCAATTTAACAGATGTTAAAAATTGGATAAAATCAAAATTTCATGAATTCCTTCATAAATACTGGTAAATATGACACACTTTATAAAAAAGTGTAATGAAATGGTCTCTGTGTAAGAACTGAGTGGGTTTCTTGAACTCCTTGAAATTTAAGATATTGATATACAAGTTCCAGATCACAGCTAATCAAATTCTGAAACAATATCGGCACTAATTAATGATGGATTAATATTTTTGTTATTACCCTTCCAGTAGAGCTTGTTCTAGGTTCAAGAAGTATTTTTGACACCCAAATAACAGTTGTAAGGTAAGCTGTGACCAGGGAATTGCTCACATACACAACTCTGTATCCATCCCATCTACATCTTGAACAATGGCCAGGCTGGGTTGATTCCGATGAAATGAGTTGGAGAACAGTGTATAGTACAAATAACCCAGGCTAATGACCACACACAATGATGCAACATCTCAGATGGCAGTGATCAGTGTTCATCCAACCCAACAGGCCTGAAGATGCGTCTTGTGGCTTTACTTACAAGATAGAACCCAGGACTGAAGATCGATGTGTGCTTATACACGCGGACGTTAACTCAGCTTGATCGGTGCTGAAACATTATTTGTTCAACTGGAAAACAATGATGGATGGTAACTAACACTTCTTGAAACCATCAGAAGTAAAGTACCCATTCATGACTGCAGAGCTTGTCTATTCACCGAACTTTGCAGCATTCCACACAGCGAGACATATTACTATTTTGATTTGGTGTGATGCCAAGCTACGTCATCAATCTAATTAAAGCTCAATTTTTGACAACAAAGTGAACTTCTATTACCGTAGCAGCCATGATGTAACAAATTGTTGGGCTCAGTGCCACAAATAATCTGCATTAACATCGATGAAAGCAGAATTTGCACTAGCACTTGAAAGTCTGATTTGACTCAAACAGAACCACTGTTGTTTTTTTTTTCATTTTAACAAGAGGCCACGATTAAAAAAATGTATCCTCAACAATTCAATGAAGAAACTTTAGGGCAATCTGGCATGAAACCAGAAAACTTGGCCAATGGAAACCAACTGTCCTGAACTCCATATACCTGTATGTCAGGCCTAAATTTTGGGCACTTGTCATAAATTGTACAGATTTTTCTCTACATACAATGTACTTCTCAGGAGTAAAACTCCCTTTTTATGGGGCCATTGCTTACAATCTAACACCAACCATGTGCAAAAAGCTGTTGAATGATAACCAAATGACAAAATGAATAATTCAATTGACACATGATCAATGACTCACCAATCAGATGACAGCTTTTTACTCAAGAGTTGTATAAATGTTTTAGCATCGTAATAAATGTGCTCCACAACCATGAGACACTTCTGTTTTTTTTTCAGTTACACGTGTATTTGATAATGTTGCTTTGTCGCTTAGTAGACAAGGACTGTCTGTAAAATCTTACATTTTTCCTGCAAACTGACATCCTCGTTAAACATGTAAACGTGGAACTGCAGCAACACTATTCCCATAAAAGGCCAGAGACAATCGGCAGGACTGGGGATAGTTGGTGCACTTGTACTTGCGGCAATCTGTCTGTGACTTCTGACTGCGGCAATTTGTTTTCACTGGGCCTCGCACCATGCTGGGAAGCCCCATGTGCAGCTATTCAAGTGTTTTTGAGACAAATTCATCTGGGCATTCCCAATCCCCCCTTGCTGTATGTGCTCTTGCCCCAGGCATAGCATACTCAGAGGTTATTCCCTGTCTGAAGATGTCAAAGTAATGATGAAAGCTATGACACAACTGCATAAACTATGGCACGCCGGTTCTCGGAAAAATAATTTTTGCCACTCATCAGAAGCACGTCATAAAATGCATTCATCATTTTGCGTAGCATGTGTTTCCTAAACCAATGGGTTGAAGAGGGTCAATGGCTCTGTTGTTTTTCTTTTTGTATGAACTCAGTTTTTGTAGCAAGTAGGAGGTGATAATTTTGTATTACCATGTTCCTGGTTAGAAAACCCTTAAACCACATAGATAACTGATGAATGTACATCAGAAACTGAATGAAATAAACTCAGTTCTGTGGTTTGAAGATTTACAGGTCCCTGCTTTCAAGGGGGAAAAAAGGTTGTTTACATTTGGGACGGAGACTGGTGGGTTGGGTTGGTTTCCCTCTTCCCATGTCTCTGAGGTGAAGCCAACCACATCACCTCTGACAACCATAGATTTGAACACCAGACAAATAATCTTATGTCTGGATATGTGTTAACCAAGGATTGGACTGCAGGTCACTGCTCCTTTTCCAATTTGTGGTTGCACCAAAATGACTCATCTGTCAGAAAATGTGACCAAGCTGACAACTACTTCTTAGTAAACTCTATATTGTAATAGCTCTCTCACTTCTCTCAGCTCAATTTATGGTATGATATGGGATTGGACATAGATAAAAATAACACCAACTTCTTGGGGGCCTTTCTATGGAAACAAAAATACCAAACAAAATGACGAACCCATCTTCATTTCCAACAATTTTTCCTTTTTCTCCATCCAGGTTATTTGTTATTTCACAGAGCACTGTTATATTTCTGGGATACAATAATTATCCTGAAGTCAGCGAAATCGGTATCTCAGTTATGGCCAATAAGTTGATTTAAAGATGTTGTTTAGACCAAATTACAATGTGACCTCGATCACGATTTCACTTTCTTCCCCCAAACATTACTAAAATGGAATTCATAGTGACCAGTCGTTTCACTCACTATAGAAATAAGACATGAGACTTAAAATCAAATAGACATGAGAGGGGAATTTTATATACAAACATAGACAAAAATAATCAACTATTCCCTTAAACTTAATGTAGCTGATGAACTCTGCACATGCAAAAAGGAAGAAGTCAGCATCATATCAAGACCCACTGTAGGTAAACTATAATGAATACAGTTGGAGCTAATCAAAACTGTACGATATTACACTCTGATGAGCAGAAATGGAAAAGGACTGAAGAGAAATTGAATTTGAAAACCATTCCACCTTAATACAACAACCTGTCTTTCAATAATCCCCCTTAAAAAAAGATGATTCACATAAATCTCAACTACAACATAAACAGCATGGAGGAAGGACATAAACCTTACTCCATGACAAATAGTCAGTTGTACAGCCTTACATGACAAAGGAAACACAAAATGCCTATTATGTACAAAGCACAAGTATACACTATGGCTTGAGAGTAATCAGTTGTAATTACAGACATGTAGCTCCTGACTACACTTATTTGGATCACATCTGCTTGGAACTGCTACCCACGTGGTGGTGTATCCTCTCTCCTTCCAATGCCAGAATCCCCAGTTGACAAGCTTTAGTCTGCCCTGCAGGCGTAGTTAGCGCACTGCTTTGGGACTGGATTCACTGGTGGCCTGGGCATATTCAGTCAGGTCAAGGGTCAACACCTTACTGATGGTGCATTCTCCTTGCTGTAGGGGAAGGGAAAAACATATCACAGCCCTGAAATGAACAGGTTAGGATCTCAGCATGGCAACACCGGAAACACAGTGAAGTCAGTGTGTGTATACCTTCACCACATGCAGAGACAATTCAGGGGCACAACATGAGCGGAAGTCAGTCATTCCCTGTACACTACTACAACTTCTGCTATCAAAAATATGGTTGTGCAAGTAAATTGTGGTTTAAAGTGAAGAATGAGGTTTTACCAAAATCAATTTGGAACATCTTACCGATGATATTTGAAAGTGCTTGTTAAAGGTCACATTCTCATTTTCCGTGAATGTTAAAATTCCAATGAATCATACCATTCTAAAGGCCAAGATTTGATTTTATATTGATGCATTGACATGAGTTTCTTTTAAACTTAGTTATATACCTTTTTTACGATTCTCACAACAATTAACAATAAACAATTAACAATTACTGAACCAATTTTGACCCAGTTGAAGGATTGTTTCCATACAATAGCCATACTATTTCTTGCCAAAGGTAATGAGGGCACTGTTGCAGTGACGTCCATCCAGAGAAAGAGAGCCAAAGCCCTTCAAGACACTCAAGGGATATTGGAGAACATTTTAAGCATGCATACCAATCTGCAATTTGTCCATCGTCACTCAGTTCATTCCTCAGATTACCTCACTTGAGTTCATTTTGCTTTAAAGTCACAGAAGCAAAATACCCTGTACCTTAAAATTTGGTGAGTATTAAAGGTTTGAAGCAATTACACGCTCCACTCAACAGACCTGTAGCTTAAAACATTCACTTTTTATTTCCATTTTAACTGAATTTATTAACTGACACAAGTTAACCCCAGTTAACTCAAATTCAATTTCCATTCATGAAAAGTATAAACCAGAAAACACAACGCTGAAGGGAACACTGAAATATGGGGGACGCAGCATCTAAAAAAAAAAAGTACCGAATTCCAAAGTGGACTGTATCAACCCTGACGATCCCCAGCCAGCCTAACTCCCAACACTAGGCTTTGGTGGAATCTGTTATGATGACTAATGCACTAGTAAACTGACTGGTGCTATGTAGGATTAGGGAGACTACAAATAAACAGTGTCCAACTGTTTATGTGTACAGCTCACTGTATGGTGTTTGGATTTGCAATGATAAGGAAGGTTCCTTGTGAATCACTCTAGGGAGAAGGGTTAAATAACATCCCGCAAATCACTTTAGTTTTAAATTTTTTATCAACCACCTCACTCAGTGCCATCAAGATTTAAGGACATAAAACATCAAACACAACAACATAAAGCTCAATTGTGCATACAGCAAAAGAAATATCAGTCAATAATGACCAGCACTCAGAAACACTGCTGGGTGCACTGAACCAATTCAAGCTCCATTGAAAATAGTGTAAAATCAACCAAGTTTGGAGCCCCATGGCAGGCAACTGAAGTCCCTGAGGCCTCTCAAACAAAAAAAATGTGTTGTTTGGTCCTTTAGG